AGAACCCTAATCACACCAAGGTGTCCCTTGTTCACCTGGAGACTACTCTAAATGCAGCACACCTGGAGACTACTCTAAATGTAGCACACCTGGAGACTGGAGTGACAGTGGTGCTGCAGTAGAACCCTATCCACACCAAGGTGTCCCTTGTTCACCTGGAGACTACTCTAAATGTAGCACACTGGAGACTGGAGTGACAGTGTTGCTTGACAGTCGAACCCCTTAATCCACCAAGGTGTCCCTTGTTCACTGGAGACTTCTAAATTTGCAGCACAACCTGGAGATACCTCATCAAATCAGCACACCTGGAGACTACTTAAACAGGTACACAACCTGGAGACTGGACGTGGAAAGTGGTGCTGCCAGTAGAGTAGAAAAAGAATAACACAAAATCGGAGAGTCGGGGTTCCCTGTTAACCCTGGAGACTACTCTAAATGCAGCACCTGGAGACTACTCTAAATGTAGCACCCTGGAGACGGGAGTGACAGTGGTGCTGCAGTTAGCGTAGAACCCTAATCACACCAAGGTGCCTCGTTCTCCTGGAGACTACTCTACATGTCAGCACACACTGGCATACTACTCTCATATCCGACCCGACACAACAAATACACTGGTAAAATTCACCCAAAATAGTCACAACATTCAAATTTAAATCTAGCCTTCAATTTAAAATCTAATTGGAGAGTAAATGCGGGATATTAGGCGAGAAAAAAATACTCAGGTCTATTGAGACAACAAAACAGGTTATAAACTGGTCAACCGCTCTGCCTGTACAACATGCCCTGACTATATACCTGACGGCAGTCTGGAGAGCGTACTTCATTAACGGCACGTCTACCAACACGACCTCTCCTCCTCGTAAGAGGTCCTCCTACTCTCGAGACGTCCCGCTGGCCGCACACTTCACCAGCTCTTCCCTGGCGAACTGACTGATGTTCCTCAAACATGTGACGCAGCAGCTGGGACACATTGGCGGAGGGGAGGGAGGGTTAAAATTAAACCTATACGGACCAAGAAAGGGTTAAAATTTCAAGCGCAGAAAATTCACAATTGTTTTTGCATTCTCCTTGCTGCATGTCTCAACAACTTGGTAGCGAGGTAGAAAGGCGAGGCAAGGCAAACAAGTCAGCTACACCCAGGACAGCTCTTTCCTTTCAAAGAAAAGAAGAAGAGCTGCCCTGGGTTGGATTCGAACCTCTGACACTCAAACAACTATTCAGCTCAAAGAAAAGAAGAAGAGCTGCCCTGGGTTGGATTCGAACCTCTGACACTCAAACAACTATTCAGCTCAAAGAAAAGAAGAAGAGCTGCCCTGGGTTGGATTCGAACCTCTGACACTCAAACAAGTCAACTACTCAGCTCAAAGAAAAGAAGAAGAGCTGCCCTGGGTACACAGCACCTTCAGCAGTGTAACCAACTTTTCTAACACATTCAGAGTGGAGAACTGAGACTCTTACCACTGGTACTGGGAGTCAGCGGCATTCCGTTGCCGTCGACTTTTCTCACTGCCTGTGAGTTGAAGGTCCACATGGTTCCCTTGACGTCAATCTTTAGGTCTCCGTCACCATACACCTCTGCAATTCTACCCACTTTACCCAGGGTCTGGTGGAGGGAGAGATATCCACGTCACGTGACACTCACATGACCCCCATTTACGTCGTACAACTATATAACAAACTATGCTCACGTGTATCATCGACTCCACCCACTCTCCGTGACCGGTTTGAAACTCCTTCACTTTCTCGGCATCTGCAGATATCTTCACAAAGTCGCCCACCTATGTATAATAATAAATATAGGTTAGACGCGGAAGCGAGGTGTCTACGCTACATTGCAACCCGAGGGGCTGTGGAATGTTGGCGTCCCGAGCGCAGCGAGGGCGCTACCCACATGCCCCGAGGGTTGCAATGTTGCGTAGACAACCGAGCTTCCGCGTCTAACCGGTTTAGACCGGAGTATCTGATTGGTGTTTGCGCGTTCAAATGGGTAGCAACAAGCTAGCAACGCTGCGCTCATTCCTCATTCCTTACCTTCGGATCGAACAAGGCGCTTTTTTTACGTGTGAGACTCCGAGGAGACAGCCCCCGCCCCCCGTCAAAAATCGTTTACGTCATCATAAAACGCCCTCATTGGTGGTGCGCGTTTGAAAGGGTTAGCAACGCACGGCAACGGCCCAATGTGTTTGTGTATCGCCAGAGCTAAAGAAGCCGACGCTTTTTTCGTGGAATATTAACGTGATTTCTGACTTTCGCGAGCTCCGGAGACTGTCCACAGACTTCTTGCAGGTGCACTACGCATTTTAAAAGAGCTACTTTGCCAGTCGCCCCTTCTACGCTACATATACCGAACGCGGAATCGGCCGGTTTGCGCAGATAACGACTTTGAGAATAGCCATTTTGTACGGGGAGTTTGCTGTAGACCACCTGCAAACGCCATTAGACACCTGAAACGAGGTGTCTATGAAAAATAAACCCCCCGCAATTCTGTAATCTGATTGGTCAATTGCGCGTGACTGCGGTCTAAATATATGTTATGTACTACGTGCGAGGGACATACCGGATTTCAATGAACCCCAGGGCCTCCGCGTTTGTAGTGTCCGAGCGCAGCAAGGCACTACGCGGAGGGCCTGAGGTTCATTGAAATCCGGTATGTCCCGAGTATCCGTGCAGTACATAACATGTTTGTAATATGCAGACGCAATCAGCTCCGTATATCGCGCACAGCGCGTCCTTCCAAGCAGAGAAGATGCGAGCAGAGACGAGAGACGCAAGACCGTCATCTCGTGCGGGACTATTGAACGCCGAACGCTAGGATACGCTGCTCCCCGCTCTAGCTACTCCGCTGTGGAACTGTCCTCCCGAAGAAACGCGACAGGAGACCTGCGCGAACCATCGCAATCAGAGAGAGGCGAGACTGTGGAGAATTCAGGCGCTGTGCGGGCTGCTATATACCGAAGGCGTTCGCCGTAGACTTAGTCGCTTTGTCGCCGCACTCGCTCGCGGAGCCCAACCCCCTTATTTGCGTGCGGTGGTTTGTGGGGGGGCGTGAGCTGCCTGGCTGCTATGGCAAGGAGGGAGATGGGCTCAAAGCAGACACAGAAACTGTCTTGTGGAAAAAGAAAATCAAGATATCAGTTATTTTGATCAACATTTGTATAGAAATTTCATGTTTTACGGGATACATTTCCACATGAAATTGCTGTTGAACTTGTTGAACAACAGAAAAACAGGTTTCATATCATGTTTTCATGTTAACTTTGTTAGCTCACGAGGTTCATATGAGAAATCAGGAACCTCGTATAACAAACTCTGATTGGTCGATTCGAATCAGCTATGGCACTAATAATATATAATTATTAATCCATCACATGAATTCTATATAAATTATATATAGCATCGATGCAACGAACATGTGTGAATATTTATGTACAGCCATTCAAAACTCACTGCTTGCCTTTGAAGGCTTTTGCTATTGTTGCAATATGTAAAGACCTGGAACAACCACAAACCACTAGCCACACACATACACACCCTAATATTATATAATTATAATTATACTCAACCGGCAATTAGACAGAATGTTCTGGCCAGAACATAGAACTCTCCTGGATCCTTGATTCAAGAGATTAACTTGCTATAATCATTATTCACCCTTCTATTGCAAGCCCAATGGATTCAAGTTTCTCAAATATATGTGATATTGGCAGTAATGTCACGCAACGTGCATTTTGGCGCGCGCATATAATTATAATATATAAATGCAGGCGCGCGCCCCTTTTTCCGCGCGTGGTCACGTGCATGCATGCAGTACGTTTGGCTGTCGTCATAGTCTCGCGGGCGGCCTGGTCGGTTGCTCCGCGCCGCTATAAAACACGGACAAGAGTACTTATTAGATCCGCAGTCCGCAGGTAAGAGGAGAATCCGTGCTCAACCGGATTGAGGCGGCACCCCAGCCAACCCAAGTGTCTTCTTGTAGCTAATTACTTCGTGTACAGGTAATGAGTTTTCGTTTTACTCGCGCTTAGCACATGTTGCTCAGTTGCGAGTTTAGCCAGTCCGCACTGCATTTGCTCACTCTGTAGGCACCTTAAAAATTACAGTGTTCATCTATTCCTACAGTTCTGAATATGCGTTCAGGAGTTTCCTTGTTGCTGGCGTTTATGACAGCTTTTCATGAAGCTAATTGCAGCACGTTTTTGCACGAAAGGCTCATCACAGCAAGGTACACAAACGGCAGACGCCGGAGAGAACCAATGTATTGAAGAGAAGATGGATGCATATTTTCAAGGAAACACTTCCGTTTTTGTGACCAACTGCAATATGCTGCCCTGGAAGAAGTGGAGTTTGATTTGGATTGAGGGGCTGAGTTACACACAACAACTTGAGTTATCTTTTGGCTTTTTACTGCAACCCTGAGTGTGGGATTGTAATAATGATGTTTTAAACGAATGCGGAGTGTATAGCACTCCTGGCATTGAAAAATTTAATGTTGATTTGTGCGGGACAAATGAAATGGAACCAAATGTTATCGCTTGTATGGCAAGGCCTTGGATTCTATAACTACTGAAGCAAGTTGTTTACCAGACATTGACCAGTTCAGGTAAGTGCATTGCAGCTCTGACTAAAAGATGCAGTTGAAGAACAAGGCTGCTGCATAGACGCCTACTACGACTTCATTTCTAATGCCTACAGTCCCAGAGCTCTGTACGAAGGCTGCAATGAAGATTTTCCAACTGATGGCTGCAATAACAGCCCTTTACCATATTCTGGTTCTCCAACCACAACAGTATTATGACAGTTGCGGTCACACACGATTCTGGTTCTCCACCACCAGTATTTGACAGTTGCGGTCACTACAGATTTCTGGTTCTCCAACCACAGCAATATTATGACAGTTTGCGGTCACCACTATTACTGCTGTTATTGTTTCTCTGAGTATATCTCAGTATTGACAGCATGGTCACACGGATCATTGGACAGTGTAAATAGCTATTATATAGGTTGGAGGTTTTTTTGTATATTTACATTCTCATGATGTAGCTAGCTAATTATATCTTTGCGCAAAATATACGCGCAAACCACACCTCTGCTATAGCATAATCCTCTCTGCGCATGCTCACCAATGGTCGCGAAAAGACACATGGGCGTCGCGACTCGCGTAGTACGTCCTGCGGATGCCGGGGCGCTGACGTTCAGTTCCGAAGTGCGCATGTGCAAAACATGTATGCATCCGACTGGAAATGCGCGATTCACATCACAGGAAGTAGTTACAGCTAGGCTGGCCGCATGCATCTACCGACGCCTAATTAAGGGGAACTTGTTATGGCGCGGTCGGCGAGTGCTCTGTGATAATTGGCATGAAGTGTGCCGGAATGACTCAGTAATAGTATTGCACTACATTGGTGTGCCCACAGTACAACTGCATTCCTTTGATACACTGCATGTGCCTGAATAGTTCCCATAGACATTAGAGAGCCAAAGTTTTACTACTGTCGGATTGAGCGCTGTATTCTATGCGCTACGCTATTGCGTGACGTAATATTGCGGCCTGTTGAGCCGGCCGAACCATTCTGGCACGCTACACCACACACTGGAATTCTCTATTGCACACAACAGACAGCATAACATAATCTTGGAGAAACAATCCAGCAACATCAGTCAAAGAGCATGATCTTCTGGAGACTAGTTCCTACATATTGGACACTCTATGATCTGTCGGCACACACTGACATGTCCCATGGCCACACAGGAACACACAGTTCTTTCTTTCTGTCCATACACACCTGACATTGGGTCTGGGGAGGGCAGAGAGAGAGGGAAGTGGGCAGAGAGAGAGGGAGAGAGAGAGAGGAGAGAGAGAGAGAGAGAGAGAGAGGAGAGAGGGAGGGAAGGTGGAGGGAGAGGAGAGAGAGAGAGAGAGGGGGGAGGGAGAGAGAGAGAGAGAGAGGGAAAGCAGAGCACAGTAACCGCAAGTCGTGGGAAACTCGCCAAAGAAACGTGATTGTGCACATGTTTTGACGTGAATTTTTTCGATTCAGAGAATCAAAGCAGCGACATTGCAACACACTTCTCTTCATCTCCTGTAGCTGTTGCTGCGTGAAGCAATGTCTTGACTACCAACTGGGCCTCCTGAGCCTCTGGACCCTCTTCCTCTCACCTTGAGAGCTGTGGGAGGAAGAAGGCAGATATACATAAGGCTTCTATACTTATAGCAGAACACTAGAGTGGCGAGAAAAAAGTAGTAAAGTGTTTTTAGCCAATCCAGGTCACAAGACACCTCAACTAGTCACATGATATCTCAACTAGGTCACATGATACTCAACTAGATCACATGATATCTCAACTAGGTCACATGACACCTCAACTAGGTCACATGATATCTCAACTAGGTCACATGATATCTCAACTAGATCACATGATTCTCAATAGGTCACAGATATCTCACTAGATCACATGATATCTCAACTAGGTCACATGACACCTCAACTAGGTCACATGATATCTCAACTAGGTCACATGATATCTCAACTAGATCACATGATATCTCAACTAGGTCACATGACACCTGCAACTAGGTCACATGATATCTCCACTAGGTCAGGTGACTCACGTCTTCCTCCACTGGCGACAGAGAGAGAGGTACGGCGGTCTCGATGGCAGTGCGACACTTGACACATTTCGTCATGATGACGAGCAGCTGTCACACGCCACCATGTGGAGACAGGGCTTGAAGACGACTGAGGCTTCCGCTTTAGAACAACCACACATTCCTCGATCTGAGAGAAAAGAGAGGAGAGAGAGAGAGAGTTTAGTACTCTCAAATCACGTGAATGAATTTTAGGCGAGCGAATGCAAGAAAGCATAAAGCCATCCATCACTGTTTGCACATGCCCATTGAAGGTACATCAATGCTACTTCAACATACTTGTCGTCACATAATCAGTGGCAGAAGAAGGTTAAAATGGAAATGCTTGATGCAACTATATAGCTATGTATGTAAGATGGTATTTGATAGGTGGAATGGGAGGGGCTAACCTGTTGCTATGGGAGACGGGCTGGCGACAGATGGGGCAGGAGGACACTTGACATTTCTCGCAGGTTGCCACGTGAGCGCACGGCAACAGGAGCACCGCCCGGCGACCAGTCTCACACACTAGACACGTGGAGAGCGAGCCGTTCTGGGAGGATGAGGACGGCTGGGAGGGAGGGAGGAGGGAGGAGGGAAAGCGAGAGAGGAGAAAGAAGAAAGTGAAGAATAAACACAGAGTCCGGTGAACGAGTGGATACAAACAAGGAGAACATAATATCCTATAGGAGGCAAGAGAAGGACAATGGAGTAATTTAAAACAAATCTCACTTGGGGCAGTGGTCAAATTGGAGTGTTTGTTGCTATGCTACAGACGAAGCCCCGCCCACCTTATCGGCAGAGGGTGTGTCCCTGCCACTCTGGGCGTGGTCAAGATGACATTTCTTCAGCAGTTTCAGGAGCGTTGGATCCGAACAGAGCTCCACCGGTTTCTGGTTCTTCTTGTTCAGAACCTGACACAAACCGGTTCAGCAGGTTACATGGAATGTGGCTGTATACATAGGCTAAATGGGTAAATGGCTAAATTTAGAAACTCCTTCACTGGGTAGTTCCATCTTTAGTAACATTTCTAAATTTAACCCTTCTGTCACTGTCACCACAACACAATATTAGCGAGTGTGGAAGTTTTATGAGTCTCGTGAACTCTGACCTCCAGCGAGGCTCCGGCTGAGGCGAGGAATATGGCGATACTGGCACTGGCTTTCTTCTCCGTTGATATGGTAACCATCGCCTGGGGGAGAGGATGGATTTGTCATACCAATGGGACAGAAGAAAGTGTCCTTATTAGTGAGGTGTCTTTATATTGCACGCAAGAACTGTTCTTGGGGAAAGAAAAGGTGTCCTTATTAGAGAGGTGTCCTCATTTCAGGGGTGTCCTTATTAGAGAGGGGTTCACTATATACCTCATTAAAGCCTGGGAATTGAAGGCTTAAGCAATTATCATCCTAACCTTCCCAATATCCTGCGGACTCTCCTGAACTTGTTTCAGCTGGGACATGGTGTGGTGTCGGAGTGCCTCGTGCAGCGGACGATCGCCAAACTTGTCCCCCATGTCTGGGTTGGCTCCTTCCTCGACCAAGAGTCTCACTATCTGGATGTTCCTCCGCTCCACGGCCAGGTGAAGCGGCGTCTGCAGATTTACGTTCTGGATATTTGGATTCGCGCCCTGAGAGGGGAAACATTACATCATCGATGAAACACAAGACTGGGGAAATTACATTATGCACTACAAACAGATAGCAGATCTTTAAGACCTTCTCTAAAGTGAAAGTGAAAAACAAAAACTGAGACCTCCCCCCAAAAACTTTGGCCTGCAAGAGAGCCTGAGAAGCTTCCAGGTGGTTGTTTAGAGCAGAGAGATGGAGGGAAGTGAAACCCGTCGTCTTTTTGTCGTCCACACCCACAGGGGCCGGCATCGGGGAGGATGTGACGGAGGGCTCCGATGTTACCTCTGAATGAAGGGAGGGAGGGAGGGAGGGAGAGGGAGGGAGGGAGAGAGAGAGAGAGAGTACAGTGGAACCTCTGATAAGGGGCCCTCATACATTATACCTAAGAGCTGCATGGTGAAGGCAGTTGAAGGCGTTGTTATTGGCGACGGTGACATCGGCCCCTCCGTCAAGCAGCAGAGCAACCATGTCGTCTCTCTTCTTGGAGATGGCGTCGTGGAGAGGTGTGGTCCCCCTCTGAATCCTGGACGGAGGGAGGAGACGATGGTAGCCTTCCTGAAATCTCTAAATGCAGGCACACCTGGAGACTACTCTAATGTAGCACACCTGGAGACTACTCTAAATGTAGCACACCTGGAGACTACTCTAAATGTAGCACACCTGGAGACTACTCTAAATGTAGCACACCTGGAGACTACTCTAAATGTAGCACACCTGGAGACTACTCTAAATGTAGCACACCTGGAGACTACTCTAAATGTAGCACACCTGGAGACTACTCTAAATGTAGCACACCTGGAGACTACTCTACATGTAGCACACCTGGAGACTACTCTAAATGCAGCACACCTGGAGACTACTCTAAATGTAGCACACCTGGAGACTACTCTAAATGTAGCACACCTGGAGACTGGAGTGACAGTGGTGCTGCAGTAGAACCCTAATCACACCAAGGTGTCCCTTGTTCACAGCCACGTGAAGCGGAGTCTGCCGTCTCTTGTTCCTGGCGTTCAGGTCTGCCGAGTTACTCGACAGAAGGTCGACGACCTCCGGTTCGTCGCCGAAACTTGCGTGGTGGACCGCTCTGTCCCCGTCCTTGTCCTATAGGTCAGGGTGAAAGTGTGTCCTGACTTTTAGAGATGATGTATGGTATAAAAAACCCACCTCTTCTTCATGTTGGCTCCATTGTCTGAGGAGGGCACTTGACATCTCAATTGACATTCTGAAAATGAGAAAACATCGACACATACAACTGGTAAAAAAACCGCGATTCACCCAAAAACAGTCACAACATTCAAATTTAAGTCTAGCTATTCAAATTTAAAATCTATTTGGAGAGTAGATGCGGGAAATTAGGCGATAAAATACTCAGGTCATTATAATTATTGAGACAACAAATCAGGTTATAAACTGGTCAAACCGGCTCTGGACCTGTACAACATGCCCGACTAGTATACCTGACTGGCAGTCTGAAGAGCGGTACTTCCATTAAACGGCACGTCTACCAACACGACCTCTCCTCCTCGTAAGAGGTCCTCTACCCTCGAGACGTCCCCGCTGGCCGCACACTTCACCAGCTCTTCCCCTGGCGAACTGGACTGATGTTCCTCGAACATGTGGCGCAGCAGCTGGGATACATTGGCTGGAGGGAGGAGGGAAAGGGTTAAAATTAAACCTATACGGACCAAGAAAGGGTTAAAATTTCAAGCGCAGAAAATTTACGTTTGTTTTTGCATTCTCCTTGTTGCATGTCTCAACAACTTGGTAACGAGGTAGAAAGGCAAGGCAAGGCAAACAATTCAACTACTCTAGCTCAAAGAAAAGAAGAAGAGCTGCCCTGGGTGGGATTCGAACCTCTGACACTCAAACAAGAAGAGCTGCCCTGGGTACACAGCACCTTCAGCAGCATTAGCAAGTTATCTACTACATTCAGAGTGGAAAACTGAGACTCTCACCACTGGTACTGGGAGTCAGCGGCATTCCGTCGCCGTCCACTTTTCTCACTGCCTGTGAGTTGAAGGTCCACATGGTCCCCTTGACGTCAATCTTTAGGTCTCCGTCACCATACACCTCTGCAATTCTACCCACTTTACCCAGGGTCTGGTGGAGGGAGAGATATCCACGTCACGTGACAGTCACATGACTCCATTAGTATGTACAACTATTATAACAAACTATGCTCACGTGTATCATCGACTCCACCCACTCTCCGTGGCCGGTTTGATACTCCTTCACCTTCTCGGCATCTGCAGATATCTTCACAAAGTCGCCCACCTATGATGTATATATAATTATAGTATCGCATGATTTGTATATATAATATACCATATATATTATATACAGCGTTGATGCAACAAACACGTGTGAACATTATGTACAGCCATTCGAAAGTCACTGCTTGCCTTAGCTCACAAAAAGCTTTTGCTATTGTTGTTAACTACAATGGGAATGGTTTCAATATTTCTCGATATCGTTTAAATAGAGAGCACACCTTGAAGGCGTCTTCAAAGGGATCAGTGGTGGTACTGGGGATGGTGAGAGGAGGAGGGTGAGGGTGACGGGCTCCATTCCGTTCCACTTCCTGGACTGGACTGGGGACCTTCTTCAGGATGGCTGGGTTCATAGTCCATCTGTGGGAGTGAGAGAAATGGGAAAAGTTCACTATTGTCCACAAAACTACTGTAGTTCAGAAAGTTGCACAAAAAGTTGCTATTCATACAAGTTTTCTGTTGCTAGGTAATGATGTACCTCTGTCGTGATGGATACTGGACGACGACGTCATGGTCCTCGTCAACTCCTCTGACCACACCCACTGCATTCATCACCTTGACAACAACAACAAACAAAAACAACAGACGATAGGTGAATAGGCAACACATTTAAGGCAAGTGTACTTCAATTTTCCGCAACGGTGGATTTGAAAATCAGGAAGTACATGTGCAGTGGGTGGTAGTGCCAGTCATATACAACATATATAAAATCCCACATTGAGACGACTAGGTATGCACAATTCATTCGGCAATAAACTTCATTCTTATTGTATCGACAGACAAACTAACCTCCAACATGCCAGGACTCCACCCTCCGTGGCCGACCTGGAGATTCTTAACAACCTCCACGTCCAGCTCTATGGCAACGTGGTCGCCGGGCGAGAACATTCCAATAAATGCCCGCTGGTCCTCGCCTAGCAACGGGAGATGATCGCGATAGAACGAGGGACCTTTGGAGTCCATGATCACTTTTAGGTCACTCTGGTGAGAGAGAAAGATTTTACACTTTCCGCCATTTTGTTAACTAACAGTGTACAGAGAAGTATTACAATGGTTTCAATATTTCTTTATTTCGTTTAAATAGAGAGCATAACTTCGAAGGCGTCTTCAGAGGGATCAGTAATAGAAGTAAATTTTTTTGCGCTAAAAGCGTACTTACATACAGAAGAAGAATGTTGTATCTTACCACTCCCTCGTAGCCAAGGCGATAGAGGTTTTTAACCCCGTTGTCCCAGACGACGTAGGCCGCACTGCGAGGAGCAGTCGATGTCCAATCCTGGATCTGCAGCACTTTACCCTTGTTCCCAGACCCACCTGATAGTCATGTGACACAGGGGGAAAGTCATGTGACACAGGGTAAAGTCATGTGACACAGGGGGAAAGTCATGTGACACAGGGGAAAGTCATGTGACACAGGGGGAAATCATGTGACACAGGGGAAAGTCATGTGACACAGGGGAAAGTCATGTGACACAGGGGGAAATCATGTGACACAGGGGGAAAGTCATGTGACACAGAGGGAAAGTTCCACCCACCATCTTGTTCGTCCCAGTTCCAGTCCACGCCACGGACTATCCTGGCTCCGGAGAGGCACCTCGTGCCGTCAGCTTCTTGCTCCTCCGACGACTCTGTACTGTTATACTGTGGGGAGGGGGAGGTGGGGGAGGAGGAGGTGAGGAGGGAGGGAGATAGAGAGAAAGGTGGGAGAAGGGAGGAAGAGGTAAAGAGAGTATTTCATCACAATATGCAGAAGGGACACGATACATTATATGCATGAATAAGATATTATATTATACCGTCATCAGGCTTTTATTACATTAACAACGCAGCCTACCGAGGGGAAGAGGGCGTGGCTATACGATGGAACGTGTGTCGGGGGTTGTGTTGTCGCCGTGGTACCAGTGGAGCAGGAGCCTGGAGTCTGCACAGTCGGCACTTTCCACCTATTCCGTAGAGAGGCGAGCTGCGCAACCCTCACCACCATGCTCCATCGTGCTTTATACCTTATAGAGAGGAGAGGAGAGAGTGAGAGAGAGCGAGAGAGAGAGGAGAGAGAGAGATGCGAGACGAGGAGAGAGAGAGATGCGGGGAGAGAGCGAGAGAATGAAATATCTTATTGAGGACAACACGATGTACTTAGTCTGAAATAGCGAGGCTTCTTTTGGAATGGACAACATTCTGCTGTGATTGGCGAGCGTACTATGGGAGCCTACATAGTCGCCTGAAGAGGAGGCGAGGAGAGAAAGAGAGGTGAGAGAGGAGCGAGAGAGAGAGGCAGGTGATGATGGACAGAATCCAAAGCCACAGGAGGAATCGGAGTGTGTTTATTGTTATTATAGCAGATCGTGACTCTCGGCCACATGGTGTCTGCGGAATTGCGATGACATCATTACGAACTAATCAGTCTCCCCAAGATGGGGTCACACACACATGTTCCACAGCACTAGACTGTATCTTCAATTCTAATTCCTTACAAAATACTACGATAATCTGTATGTAATACGATCATATGCATGTAATCAATACTACGATTGTATGTATGCACCTCTAAAGTATGTTATGGCCACTTAGACAGCGTTGATCCAACCCTTCCTCGTCACCTACTCTGAGACTTGATGAGTATATATATACCACTGAACTTAAAACCGCACTATCTCTGTAGATATCAAGCAGCAGCCCTTCTCGGCCACTTCTTCTCTTCCTTCTGTCCTTGTGTAGTAGTATGCAACTAAAGCGTGAGCTGTTATTTTACACATGTACATACATATCTAGAAGCCACAGCCCTCCTTCACTCCATCACATCACACATCAAACTACAATACATACACATTCACCGCAAGCTACAGGCACATGTAAACGTGGCTTACAGCACTATCCGCTACTGTGCTCTGCATCAAACATTCTGACACACTGCTTCACGGACAGCAGTTCAGTGGTGAGCATGTGGGAGGTACATACGATCTGGCAGCGCATGTTATGCTTGGCTTTTATTGAGTGACTTATTAGGGAAATTGGACAGTGTGTATGCACTTGTACACGCCATTCATCTTCCTACCCCATCCCCTCGCTCCTCTAATTCCTTTGGCTAACACTCTTATTTGGGAGAGTGTGTACATGTTACGGAATACACGAACCCACATCACTCTGAGAACACCTACTCCTCGGAATAATCGGAACGATCGAGACGGAAGAATATGCACCAGAAACAGGTTGTGTTTTGTGTGAAGTTGTAATGACGATGCACAGTGCGTGTAGGGTCATTCACATGAGATCTGAGATCTAGGTGGTTCTCGAGTGTAATACGACTTCTCTACGAACAGATTCGCAGGGGAACGAGGTGTGTAGGGTACTTTGTACTCTAGTTCGGAGTGTTCGACTGCTCGTTGGTTCGAGTGTATGAACCTTCCTCTACTAACAGATTCGCATGGGGAACGAGGTGTGTAGGGTATTTGTACTCTAGTTTCGGAGTGGTTCGAACGACTGGGCATCGGTGGTTCGAGTGTACTGGCAACCTTCTCTACGAACAGATGCGCAGGGAACGAGGTGTGTGTGGGTACTTGTACTCTAGTTCGAGTGCGTTCGACTGCAGCATCGGTGGGTCGAGTGTACTGGAACTTCTCTACGAACGATTCGCAGGGTGACGAAACGGGGTGTGTGTAGGGTACTTGTACTCTAGTTCGGAGTGGTTCGACTGCATATCGGTGGTGGTTACGAGTGTACGGAACGTCTCTACGACAGAGTCGCAGCGGGAACGAGGTGTGTAGGGTACTTGTACTCTAGTTCGGAGTGGTTCGACTGCATCTGTGTTCGATTGTACTGAACCTTCTCTACGAACAGATTCGCAGGGGAAGGGTGTGTAGGGTACTGTACTCAGTCGGAGTGGTTCGACTGCATCGGTGGTTCTAGTGTACTGAACCTTCTCTACGACAGAATTCGCAAGGGGAACGAGGTGGGTTTCGAGTGTGAGTGCCACAGGAGGTTCGACTGCATCGAACCTCCTGTGGCATAAGAGCACAGTGTGCAACAAGCTATATACAAGTGCAATCAAGATACACAAAATTTATTTGTTTGCCCAACACACGCACAAACAAAAGAGGCCGGCCAAAATCAATTAACATTCCACTCATACCAAAAACCAGGCTGACAATCACATTAACGACGGCTGCTATTTTTAGCTGGGGGGTATATAATGGAGCTAAACCAAAGCCAAACTCGATGCTCTTTTGGCAAAAGCACTTGGAATAGGTTTTTCCTAAAGTTTTGGACATGTTGTATAAACAATATTATGCCCAGTGAAATTTAGACGCGTTTTGTAAGTTGAACATGTTTAATCTTACGAGTTGTGTAATTAATTAAAGTGAAAGATTGTTAATAGCAAAAAAACCTCAGATGATGATGAGCGGTAATTAAGAGATCATTAGAGATATATTACAAAAAGCGACCACAAACCAGACGGAGAAATAGACCGACGATTCAAGGAAAGAGATGACCTTTTGCAAGAAAACACACTTCGCCAAAAAAATGCGTGTCAGTAGAATACCGCTCGGAAAAGAAAGAAACGTTTCTTTTGAATAACACGAATTCACACTAGAACATCTCTTGAGAAATTTCTTTTCCTATACGCAGCCTGCCCTCATGATATCTGAGATTTGCTGATGTATTCGGCTGTCAAAATACGATATTCCTACAAAAAATAACCACCACTAAAGGAACTTCCTGTCCCTAGAAGGCAAACGGCCCTTACAGAGGTGGTCTGTTTTGTGGTTTTGTGGGTAACGTAAGTCTGCATGAACCCCAAAACAACCCCCAACACAGCTTTCTGGTCACTGAGTTAGGTCTGTTCTTCTCACCTTACGTGTCATCAGGCGTGTATATGAGTATCTAATACAAAACAATTGTGGGTTACAGCTCTCAGACTAACACAGAGACATAACATACATACATATAGTGAGCCCCTCTCTTAGGACACTCTTGAAATGAGGATAATTCTGTATAGGGACACTTTTCTTCCCCAAGTGAAATAAGGACACCTCGCTATGTGGACACACTCTTCGGTCCAATTGGTGTCTGATTAGAGTAAGAGAGATCCACTGTAGTATATTTTAAAAATCGTAACAACTCACTAGCTCATCAGCAATCGCCCCTTCTTTGCGCGATGCTGGACACAATGTGGGGTGGAGAAATCAGGACTACACCATAATACTACTACTACGCTACTACCAGCCTATTGTGCACTCTTACACTTGATATGAAACCTGGCACTATTCATTGCCGGTTCTTTTTGTCTGTGCCAACGTAAGAACACACAGGTCTTCTTGTACGTTGCATACTGTTGTCTCTGCTTATTTCTGGGTAAGTCTTTCCTTTAGCTACATACATAGATACCTACATAGGTGCGATCTTTCTACAGTTCATCCTGCTCCCCTTTTCACTTCTCCTTCTCCTCCCCCCTTGTTTTTCCGTTCCCCACCGTCTCCCTCCCCCCTTCTCTCCTCTCGTATGTATCTCTCTAACCTGCAGGTCCATTATCCAGTATCCTCAGGTCAAAACACGGCGAGCAGCGATAGTTGGCGGCCGTACCGTTGTCCCAGACAACCAGCACCTCCCCGGGCCGCTCGAAGCTCCTCACCGTGCCCACGTGACCCTCTCCTCCGTCCTGACGTTCCATCGCCAGTCGGGACCGCGAACAACACGGGACCCAACACACTTCCATCGATACAAACGGAATTTCCCCGTGTCTTCTAACTTTCGACTCGATTCCTCGACGGAACTCTCGCTGGCTTCTCACGCCTGGTTTTCTCTTAGCATTAGACAAGGTATAATTATACACAGTTACTAAAACGCTCACAACATCTCTTGTGTGACAAACTGCTGTCGATGCATCACCACGCGTTAAATTAGTGGGCTGAACTAACTGCGCATGCGCATGCGTAGAACGTTTCAACTTTGACCTCAAAAACGTGTGCGGTTCGGGCGCCTCTGAAGATGAGCTGCACTTCGGTGCTTAGAGGGCTCCTCGGGTGCAGGAGACGGGCATTACTAGGATCTCTGGTATTCTTCTGTGTCCTGGTATGCTTTCTGACGCTTGTCCGGTTACAGAGCGGCGTCGGGAGAGACGTAGTTCAAGACGTACTGACAAGTCGCTGGGTCGTCTTAACAAGGGACGACCCGGCTCTCGTTTTTCGGACGGAAACAAAGTTCTATACGCACACTCTGCTGGGCCGGGCGAGGGAGACGCTACGTACCGCTACCTCCTGGAATGAACTACTGGGAACAGTTCTCAAATGCACTCAGAAACTACTTTGCGCTCGCGTGCGTCGCGGACGAGTGGCGAGCGCGGACCGTGCGGCCGTTCACTGCCCACTCCCGACTCTACGGACTGTCCAACGTGTACCTGGATGACCACTTTAACAAATCCGGCCCCGCGCACGATCTGGGTCTCGTTCTGGATCTAACCAGTATGGACTCAGTTCTGATGGACGCAGGTCTTCGACCGAGTGCATCCCTCGCAGAAATGTTAAAGTTCGGTGACAGAGAACTCATTTTCCTCCACTTTGTCTCGGCCGTGTCGAACAAGGAGTACGCGATCAAATCAAAGGAAACTTCACGCACATTTGGGACGCTTTCCAAACTTCGAGTGTCGTTGACTGCTCGATGTACCCGGAGCTGATGAATCTCGCCCGATTGGTCACTTCGAATTTGAATTCCCAACTGGGCCAAAGTGAGTCGGCGGCTCACTTCATTACTCGTGCGTACCTGTGCATCAGTACCAGTCGCGGATTTAACCCCAAGGAACTCGGGAGACAGTTTTCATTCGACAGAGGGAACGCTTCGATTGTCGTGGTAAATTGGCGTGGTGTTGGTAACGGTACCGCGCTGACCCACTCCAGTAAAGGAATTCATCCTACTAAACGAGTCATCGTTCACCGACAAAAAGTGCCTCGACAAGCGAAACACGGGAAAATTTCAAACGTGCAGTTCAGTAGCTCCGTATTGATTTGCGCGCGGGAAGATTCATGACTGAATTGGAACGAGAGAGGGGGAATTCCTAGTGGTTCACTTTCGCAGCGAGAAACTCGTTTTTCGAGAGTCGCGTTTCCCACGGTTACTATCAAACTGTGTAACGAAGCTCTACGAGAGAAAAATGAAATTGTTGTCGTCGACGGTGTTCAGAAATCAGAGACTCCAGTTCTCTATTTTGCGGACATCGGAGCATTCGGCAGCGAGACTTGCAAGCAATGTTCGGCTGTTGTGAGAATGGAAAGACTCGCGCAAAAGTACAATTTCCGTCTCACCCATTTCTCCCCGGCAAAGTACGACCTGCCGGCCGACCGGGCTTCGTCGCTGCCGTGGAAATGGCGGTGATGTCACGTGCAGGTCCATGATCCTGGTGGGGGGCGGGTCCTTCCAGAGCCAGCTGATGCAGAGGTTCAATTCAGGAACTCCAAACGGAGCTCAGCACTCACGCTGTGCTCAATGACCGGCAAGCTAGAGAGACCACGCGGAGATTTTCACCTCCAAATGGACATAATCAATGGGCAGACGAATGACAAAGAACAAATTTTCATACAAATAGATCAGTTCTCTCACATCTATAATAATAATATTATACATCTACTGGTTTTTATATATCATATTTCCCCTGGCAGCAGTATAACAGACTCATCTTTCATCCAGCCAAGCATTAGAAGAGTGAGTTCTGTAATGTATAATTATATACATATCAGTCACTTGTGGAAGGATAAAATAAATAGCCTTGTGTTCCGCAATTTAGTCATGGCTGTAAAATTTTATTTCCGTCTCTTTAATTTTTCTTAACAATGAATAATCAATAGAAATATCATCTAAATTCATAGAGTGCTTGCATGTGTGTGCATTGTAGAGTATATATATAACTGTGCAGTCTCTTATAGACACATACACAACACATACAGAATATCATTATCGGCTAAATTGTGCCGCCATAGCGACGCGCGGCGGCGCGCAAATGACGAAGACGAGACGACGACGATGCTACATGTATATCATCAAATGGGGTGTGAGAAAAGGGTTAAAGTTACGAGGGCAGGTGGATGGTACCGGTATAGGGAAGAGTGGTGTGCACTAATTGGGTTCGGCACCCCATTCCTCCACCACCTATGCTCGGGTCGCACTGCAGCAACCGAACGATGGACGGGTCAGTTTTGGCTCCGTCGATGAACTCCTGCAGCGAGAGCCTCCCGTCCTTGTTTGTATCCATCTGTCGGAAAATCTTCTCCGTTCTTTTCTCGGGCGTTTGATTCGTCCTCTGGCATCTTCATCACCGTGCCGACCATCCTGTAGATCGCCCGGACGATTTCCAACATCTCTTGCTTTGTGATGAATCCGTTTCCATCCAGATCGTACATGTTGAACGCCCAGCGCAGCTTGTCTTCGAGTTTCCCGCGAGAGGAGTCACGGAGATGTGCGCAGATGAACTCTCTAAAGTCGATCGTCCTCGTGGTTAGCGTCAAAGGTACGAAACACGTGCTCGGCAAACTTCGAAGCGTCACCGTGCGGAAAAAGCTCGAGTAGATGTTTTTGAATTCGTCCACGGTGAGATGGCCGTTGGGCAATCCTTGAGGAACCCCTTGTACCACTCCTGGAGCTCGTGTTCAGTGAATTCCGTGGACTGGACTAAATCTTGGATGACCTCCGGTCTCAGTTTGCTGTTTCGTCTTGCCCATTTTTCTGTGTGTGTGTATGAGGGAGAGGGGGGAGAGGGGGAGAGAGAGAGTATCATAATTGTGTGTGAGAGAGAGAGGAGAGAGAGGAGAGGGAGAGAGGGGAGATGGGAGATGGGGAAGCGGGGAGAGCGAGATGAGTTGCGAGACAGAAAGGGGACGAAGACAGAAGACGCACGGTTGATGTTTCATCAAACAACAGCCAAACTTTACAGGGGAGAAAGAGGGTAGCAAAGAGATAGGGGGCCACTTATTACTAGATGATAACACCACTGACATGTGCAGTGGCCAATACTTCTCTAAAACGGCCAATGAATCGACTACCGCCAGCCGGCATTACGCTCTTTACCTCACTAACTGGCCTCAAATACTGCCAAAAAGCAGTAAACTTTAACACACGCAGTAATAATGTCTCTGAGGCTGCCAAACGATATGTTCCGCAGACATCGTCGGTTTGGCAAACGGTCGTTACACTGCTAACGAGGACCTGTTGTGGTCTCTTTAACTGCTTTAAAACACAAACTGCACACCCGTTAATGGACACACACAATTAATTCTACGATGAACTAGAGTGGCGCAGAGAAGACCCTTTTTAATCTGACACCAAATTGGACTGAAGAAAATGTCTATATTATCAGCGAGGTGTCGTTATTTCACGGGTTAAACTGCATGCAGATACATACTGTCAAGACTCGCTACTTCTCCATCTTTCCTCATTTAGCACACACCCCTTACGATAATGAGCACCTGAAGGATTTATAACCGCGAGGACGTGTAATTCTGGCACAGAATGATGTCATAACGAGCTGTGATTACATCGTCGAGCTACGGCCCAGGTGTATTGGGTAATGCCTCTACTGACACAGCTATTAGGAGGGGCTAATCATCAAATATGACACAGTGGAAGGACGGAAATACAATTACAGAGCATTTCTCACATTATCGCGTGTATCTACTCAGAGAACGGAAAGGAAAGGAAAGAAAATGAAATCGTTCAAGTACGCACACGTATGTATCTAGTTGACTGTACAAGTTGTAGGCATCAAATAGTAAATAGAATCTACGTAAAAGTGTGAGGCTGCATTCGCACATTTGGAGGGCATGTGTGTGTGTGGTGGCATTGTGTAGTGAGTGTGGGTCTGTGTGTGTGTGTGGTGTTGATGTGTGCAATGTGTGTGAGTGTGTCGTGAGTGTGCGTATGTGTGTGTATGTCGTTTCACAAGTAGACACAACATTCAACTGAAAAAATATCACGAAATTCCGAGAATATTTCGATGCTTGTTTCCTGTTTTCCTGAGTAAAAACCCCCCTTTCCCTCTCTCCCCCCTTCCCCTCTCCCTCCTTCTATTTTCTCCTATCTCATTTTAGTTCTAACCACCTCCCCTTCCATGCTTATCAGTTTCAGAGGAATGCACATCAGGAATGAAATGTATGGTGGGATATTCTGAAATGCACATCAAGAATTTAGGGATGTTATAAATTTAAATTCATTGGGTGAAAACTCATATACGGTTTCCATAACGGACTGTCCCTTTCTAACTGAGGGGTGGGAAGGGAGGGACACGAGAGGGGAGGTGGTGGAAGGAAGTGAAAATACAAACCCACGGGAAAAGAGAAAGTGGCCGAGTGGCAGACAAAGGGCAAGAGGAACTTGCCATAGCAACTCGAAGGCAGAGAGAGAGCAGAATATACAAACATACGTCAGTGCAACAACGAGTCAACACGCTGCCCTGCCGCCCCAACGACAGCTACATACACAGGCTCACACCCGTCCTTCCTCGCTCTTTCTGTGTCCTAGCACCGCCTACATCCCCGCCAGGATTCACACCTCATCCTCACCTCGTCTCAGTCCGCTCCACACCGAGCGGCCCTGCTTGCTTCTCTCCAGACACGCACATCCTCTTCGGCTACTCACCCTGACCCCCGCCTTTCTGTCTCTCTCACCTAGCGACTCGGCAACGACACTCGATCACAGAAGGGAGCGCAGTCGAGTGAAACGGTGCTAGAGGATGGGCCGCCACTCGCACAAATGGAGAGCTTCCGGCTCTTTCTCTTTCGTCCTCTCCAGAACGGAGCGAGGCAAACTTTCGAGCTAGTAATGCGCATGCGTGCGCAAACTATACAATGGGCGTGGTTATTATGTGAGCCAAGCCGCGCGCGAGCACAAAGAGGAAGATACCCTTTGACCCTCTACTAGATTGCGAGAATGGAGGGAAATGGCGACGTTTCGGTGTTCGTCAGCCGATGTCTGAGCTATTCGGTCATCTTTCTGAGTGTCTTCATGAAGGTACCGCAGATCCTGGCGCTCTACTCGTCGAGGAGCAGCCGAGGATTAGCGCACGCGGCTACTGGCTGGAGATCATATGGTATGCTACTTCCTTCGCAACCCACACACTCAGGTATACCACGTGTGTTAATTTATCATCACAGGGGAATTTGCGGTTAATTAGAGCAATGCAAAATGTACCCTCAAAAAATTTAGCTTGCATTTTTTTTCAGAGGTTGTCACTTACTAAAAAAGGTGCAACATTAACTCATTTTCTCGATGCCAGTACACTTCCATTTCTCTCTCAATCATCTCTCAATCTCTCACTTATCTACTCTCCTCTCTCTCTCCTTTACACCTCTCACTCCTTCTCGCTCTCCCTCTCTCTCTCTCTCTCTCTCTCACTCTCACTCTCTCTCTCTCTCTGGACAGTTGTGAAATAGGAGTGGCACACGGCTATTTCTACGACATCCACGTGACGACATACGGAGAGGCCATTCTCCTGGCTCTCCAGAGTTACGTGATAGTCTACCTGAGCGTCAAATACAGCGGTGATTGGAGCCTCGAGATGGGCCGTGGTTTGTGCCAACGGCGCCTCATCGCTAGCCATAGTTACAAGTCAATCCTGCTACATCATCTCTAACATATTGCTGGTAGGGCATACATTACAGTACATAGGACGTCCATGTATATCCACTGGAGGTGACATACTGTGTCCCGCCCGCGTTATATTATACTAGAGATGAAAGGTATATAGCGGCAACCACGTGTCACGAAATACATGCACACTCACTCGAGAGACGATGTGTGAGCTGTTGATTGAAAGGAAAAGGGGAGTGTAGAAGTGTGTCGGTTTTTTGTGTTGGTTTACGGCATGTGTGTGACATAAGATCACAGTTGGAAAATGTGGTCACTCGTCGCTACTCTGTCTACTCCGCGCACACACACACACACTCACACACACTGAGGCCTCTTGCCTCCCTCCACTCCTCTCTCTCAGCCAGGCGGCCACAGTACCGCTCTGATAGCCAGTAGTAGAGGTACGCAGATCGATCTACAGTCTCTATCGCCTCAGTCGGTCGGAGATTCAGCATCTCTATGTTTGTCCTTTCTTCGTACGCCTCTGTGGTAAAGACATCATCAGTATTCACATTACGTAATGTCTTCGTTGTGAGTTAATCCAATTCTGTTGTTTTTCTCTCTCTTACGTTAAAAGCAAATCCTCTCAATTTCTCTTCTGTACATTAGCCCGTCTATTTACAATCGCCGTGGAAGTTAAAGACCTCCAAAGTAAAGTTTGAAAATTGTAATGTTGTCATCAATATCTCCTCTCCCTCCCTCCCTTACCCTCTCCCCTTCTGTTCCTTTCTTCCGCCATTTCTCTCTCTCTCTCCTCTCAGTCTTCTTCATGTTCGTCTGTCGTTGTTCCTCAATCTGACCTCGTGTACAATGTTTCTACTATGGCCGGTGGTCAGCCACAGTCACCAGCAGAAGAAGAAGACGAACTAAAAGCTCACCACACTCTCCTGTTATGATTTCATTACATCATCCTCTGCCTATGGCTAGCTAGCTATATGGCAACCACATGTAGTATTATTCATTACATCATCCTCATTGTGCAAATATTAACTAATTATCAAATGGCGTTGGTATCTTCAGTTTATAACAGCGAGCGAGTGGTGTATAATATATATAATAGTCATTTTTACGATCCGTCTTTTCTCTCTCGTCAATGGAGGCGAGAACTCAAGCGCACAACTGTGCTGTAACAGCAAGCCTCTCTCCCTCCTCTCGCACCGCGGGGCCATCTGGCAAAACACCAAAGTCGGCGTCTGCTAGTTGTGAGCTGGCGGGATTGGTGAGGATGTTGTCGTGGGCGCCATGGATACCAGCGTCCAGAGTACGACAGCCACCTAGCGGAGGGAAGAGAAAGTTGCACCAGCAAACCTCTGAAGAGGGGGAACACATTCAAAGTGTCCGTACATGATAGTACAGTGGAACCTCTCGTTCAGGGACCGTCAAAAAAATGTTCATAATTAAAAGGAATTTCATATATTATATAACAGTAGCTAGTTTGTACTAGTGTTATAATGTCTCCAAGTGGTTCGTATTAGCAGTATTTCGCTTTAACAGTGTTCGTATTAACGAGGTTCCACTGTATGGGCCACAACCACAGTGTCCTTTATAGGGAGGAGTCCTTTTTCAGTAGCCATAACACTGCCATTAGCTTCATTACTTCATTACTGGGATAATGACCTAATTGACGGTTTGGCCCACCTGATCCGGTCCAACTTACTCTTAAGATCGCACATGGTCGTTGTTGCCGTGGGTAGCCAGTGTGAGTAGGTGTGGCCACACTCGCACCCTGCCCTCACGAGAGAGAGGGGGACTGAACAGCTGTCCTCATACCTGCGCCATCTTTTCATTTCGTCGTAGATTGGGAGAGAGAGGGCGGAGGAGAGAGGTTGAGACGTACATAATCATGACGTACAACGGAAGCATGGGCTACAATGCAACTACATTTCCATATCCACGATCAACTAACTATGCAATATAGCGCAACTGAACCCGAAATGCATATGCTCATTGCTCAACACAGCAAAAAGCACAGGTTGCGTTTCAAATATGAATAGCGTTTATCTCGGGCAGGAAGGAGGGAGAGAAGGATCAAGGCACCTGTTGAAGGCCCACTGACATTCAGGTACAATGAGATATCACAGAATGACGTGAACTTACATCTTCTTCTCTTCTCAGTCTTCTTTGAGGGACAGTTTCGATGCGCCAAATCTGGGCCCCAATGCAGTATGATGGAAAAACTGTTCTCTCTCTCTCTGCGAAAAGCCTCTTCTGCTCACCATATACTTAGCTCAGCGAAGAGCTTCGCTGTCCCTGTCAACCACCGCGGCATCATCTTCTGCAGGTTGTCATGGAGAGGACAATCGTCTTTCGCAGTACCATCATCGAGATCTTCGTACTTTTTCTTCCCATACGTCAGCACGTCCTACCATGGTACCCAGCGCTGCTCCCTGTACACTTAACAAGCACGCGTTATATTCGGGTTAGAGGATCTACAGTGGAAGTCTGATAAAAAACCGTTGGTCCATAGTGTCCGCTTGTTCGCATGTTCTGACTGTATTAGGCTGAGTCACAAGATGTCGCATTGCCCACGTGTCGCGAGGATTAGATCTTAGAATCTTCGCGCAGGATGTGAAGTGGAACGACGCAATGCGACGTATCGTTGAAGTCAACCTCTGACCGCCAGGTGAACTGCAGCCTAATCCAGTTTAGCCATGGAAGCAGCTACGACGCTGGCAGCACCTCCACCTGCCGATGTCCTGGCGGAAGACTGGACAGGACGCTCTGAGAGATGAAGAAGAGGAGAGGACCGTCCTTGCAACTGCCCACTCGGTACCTGACAGGGAGAAGAGAGAGAGGAGAAAATGGCATCTATTACTACTAATTCTTTATCTGCTCCCTCGGAATGAGATATGTGGCAAAGAAAAAGAGAAAGTGTCCTTGTTAGTGAGGTGTCCTCATTTCAGGCGTTGAATTGCATGCAAGAACTGTTTTGGGGAAAGAAAAGTGTCCTTGCTTAGAGGTGTCCTCATTTAACAGGGTGTCCTTATTAGTGACGTGTCCTAATTTCAGGGTGTCTTTATTAGAGAGGTGTTCCTAAATTTCAGGGGTTGTTCCTTAGAGAGGTGTCCTCATTTCAGGGGTGTCCTTAGAGAGGTGTCTTCATTCAGGTGTCCTTAGAGCAACTATAATCAAGACTCACTCAATGATCTTCTCCTCAGGTTTAAACTCTCCGAGAGAAGCGAGGCCCAATCTCTCCACGGCCAGTCGAACCTTCTGCCTTCCTCCATCAGAACAGTCCCTCTCTTGGATCAAAGACACATGAAGGGGTGTGGTTTGGAAGTCACATATGTTGATAGAGACTTGGGCCAAGTCTTGGTCATCAAGATACACCCAATGGCCTTCACTGCCTTCAGTCTTCCTGGCTAGGAGGGAGGGAAGGAGGGGGAGGAGGGAGGGAGGGGAGGGAGGGAGGGGTTAACTCTTTTCCCTACCTGACTAGGACCTCGCCCCTGTTCTCTAATGTTGAGACGATGCGGTGGGCTTGCTCCTTGGTTGCCAGGAGATTTCACGTTGTACGCGATGAGGAAAGAACCGCGCCCCCAGTTACCGTGGCACCCCACGACGGAATGTAATCAGCCGGTCCAAAATCGGGAGCCCACTCTGGTTTTTGTATCTGGTGGAACGGCAAGAAGAGAGATGCGGCAAACGTTGCTGTGCTCATAAATAAAAATGTGATTACCATAGACAGAAGAACGTGTCCATTTGAGTCCTATTCACCTTATTCCGGAGTCTCTCATACTCTCCTTCTCTAATCTGAGGGAGAGTTCGTCGATAGTCGCGATCGTTTCCCACGGCAACCGCGTACTCGTACAGGTAGACCGGACGCTCAGCTCCGTTGCCAGGCGACACCCGAATGATTTTAATTTTTTTCTTTTTTTTTTCTCCGTGACAACTCGGCACATTCCTCCATGGTAACGTTGGCAACGGGGATGAAGGGACAGACGTCTAGAGCACCGAGTCTTGGATGTTCACCTGAGAACATGGCAACCAAATTTTTGTCTTAATTCTAGTGAAATATCATGTCAATAGAAGACGGTGTATGTTATGTAGCTATGGCTACTGTCTGAAAAACACACTGAGCGTTCACACGCTGCACTGCAACACGTGTACCTATTGTGTTCCTACCAATGACAGACCTACATATGTACAGCAAAGAAGAAAAGAGTATGTTAGCTATCGACTTACTATTAGGGTTCTAGCTACATTTTTCAGAACCAACTCACCCTTTTGTTTGGTCATATCAATGAGCTTGAAGGCGACGCGCGCGGCGGCAAGCGCTCCCTCCAGCACTGATTCCGGACGTCCGACAAACGTGTAGACTGTCCGGTTAGTGGAGTCCCCCGGGGCTACGTCGAGCAGGGAGCATCCTTCCGTTTCCCTGACTGCAGCCGCTATAGCCTCCACCACGTCGGCACGCCGGCCCTCGGAGAAGTTGGGGACACACTCGACTATCTTCTCTCTCCCCCCCGACATCAGCGAAAACAAAGCCAGGAGCTTCTTGATCGAGCTCGCGCACGTTTGTGGCAAACTGCGCATGCGTCAAGTTCGAACTTTGAACCCAGCACGCGCGCGCATGCGGTAGTGGGCGTGGCTTAGTTCTCCGTCGCTCTTCGTCATCGTTTTGCTCTCCTCGTTTCAACGTTTGATATTCAGCGGTGTTGGTCAGATGTCAACTGTCAAAGGTAGACCGGGCAGTACTTGTGTATCGTAAGAAGCTCTATGATACCCTCTTGGAAATCCAGTGAACGTGAAGTGGGGAAAGAAGAAATATGAGAAAATTGAGGTCGACTTGGCTGAGCCTCCGGCCGTCTTCAAATCCCAGCTCTTCTCTCTCACCGGTTAGCCATCGACTGTTAGTTAACTCTTCTTTGCCTCTTCCCTTCCTTTTGAACCTGCCCGACTTGCTGACTTTCTTCATTCTTCACCTTTCAGTCTTGCCTTCATTGTGATTGCGCCAACACTTTATTCCACCAAGTTTCCTTCCACTTCAAGTGCTTTCGTTCAACCTGTTACTCTGCTCTCTTTCCTGCCTCTCTCTCTCTTCTTCTCCTCCCATCTCTCCTCTCTCTAAAAACACTCAATTCCACCATTGTCCCCCCCCCCCCCGTTCTATCCCTCCCCAAGGAGTTCCGCCAGAGAGACAGAGGCTGATGATAGGAGGACTGATACTAGGCGACGAGGGTGGTCAAACAACCAATCAAAAGTGAAAAACAAGCCAGTTCATGATGATGGGCTCGGCCGACAGCTCCCCCGAGGCTCCGAAACAGAAACAAAGTTTCTCTCGAAGACATGACTGATAACCGAGGCAGCCGCTGCCGTGAGTAGAGGGTTAAATTGCGTTCACGTTGCATTCGTGAGGGTTAAGTTTCTTTTTCATTTTAAGACTCGATACTCGTATGTTGACCCCCTTTTAAAGGTGAAAAACTACTCAGTTTCTTTTACAGCTGTGTAATCACACTTTCGTTTCTCTAACTCTGTGATTTTTGTGTCCATTTTTGTCTCGTTTCGTTGTTTATGTTTTCAATTTCATTTTCTCCTTCCGTTTATCCCTCCTTCAGCTGTCCCTGCCGACCGGGATAGAGAATTTCGGCAACACGTGCTACCTGAACGCCACCCTGCAATGTCTGAAGGTGTTCCCGAGCTGAGGTCGGCTCTGGGCAGCTACCACGTCCGGCTACCAGGGCTGAGCTTATGGACACCGACACTGCATCGCCTCAGTCTCTCACCAAGAGGTGAAGGGGTTAAAAATGAGTATGTGGAAGGGTTAAAATTTGTTTGTGTGGGGTTAAAAATGAGTACGTGAAGGTTTAAATTAGAATAATCCCGACCCAAGTCGAAGATTTGTCCATATTAATGAGGTGTCCTTATTTCAGGGGTTGAACTGTTCTTGAGGAAAGAAAAGGTCCTTATTAGTGAGGTGTCCTCATTTCAGGGGGTTCACTGTATATAATGCAGAGTTAGTGTTCGTTGGATCACATGACATCACATGACCTCCATCTCTTCCTACAGACCTGAAGATGCTGTATCTGATGAGGAATCAGGCCAGGACATACGAATTCCCTCCATGCTGTTTCTTCATACCCTCCACGCCGTTAAACCAGAGTTTGCACACAAGGACCGAGAAGACAGGTGAGTGGGTGTGGTCACGTGACTGGGGGTGTGGTCACGTGCGTGATTAGGTGTGTTGATCACGTGATCAATGGACTCCATGGGAACCTCCTGAAGAACTCTGGGTAAATAAGGACACCTAGTTTATGAGAATCTTTTCTAGTCACTAGACCTGCACATATGTTGGATTGATCACTGTGATATCACATGACTCCCCACAGGATCCTACAGCAGCAGGATGCTCACAGTAGTGTTGGTCGGCCATGGTCAATAACCTATCTGAGACCTCTCAGGGTACCTGGCATCCTCCTCCTCCGTCAACCAATCAGGTTTTTCCACGTGTTTACTGTATATACTGTGTAACGTAATATTTAACTGTATATTGCACTGGTATAATTATATATATGAAGGGGCAATGGGAAAAGGGACCTTATGGCTGGAATGTGAACAATTAAGTTTTTGGGGGAAAAACCAACAAAACTTAATTTTTCAGAAGAACTCGCTCGGAAGCCAGCGAGAAGCGCACGTGGGTAGGCTACGCAGTCGTATTTCTCTCGCTGGAGGTCGACGACTGCTACAAAGTCACTAATAACACGACATAATGTGCGTCCTATCGTTCTATACGCTGAGTTTATGGAACTCGGCGTTGTGGTCTGCGAGACCCATACAGCGCATCATTATCTCTACATATATACTATATATAGCTACTGACATCCTGACTGACCGAGTAGTTTCATATTTCTCTACGATTGTCTAGTCTGACAAGATTAGCATCAGATTAACATGCTATGTTGTATTGACTATAGGGAAGCGACAGGTGGAAGAATGCTTTATGCAAGCAGTGACTCTTGGTAAGACGTTTTTTACTCCAGTTTGGGTCACCCGTGATCTGGATTGGTCGTTTACGTTGCCGTTGGTAACAGGGTGGAGACAAAGTCGACGTCCAAAATGCGAGGAGTTGTCCAGACGAACCGGTCCACCACGGAGACGGACACTAGCTACCAAGTGTCGTGTTTTATTGCCAGATGTGACCAGTACATGTACACAGCTATGAGGAAAGGTTAGTAATGGGAATGATGTATATTGGACCTACCGACCAAGGGACACTATGCGCAGCAGATTTTGTCCCTTGTAAGAGAGGTCGTAGTCAATATTAATGCCTAAAAGACGATAAGGAGAGCTAAGGAAAAGTGCCCTCTCTTCCCAGGAAATGGAGGGGACGGTGAAGTAAGAGTCTGCAGTTCTGGAAGAGACGCGGACTTCACGAAGACGTCGCCGCTGAGTCGTCTCCCGGGATACCTGACAGTCCAGTTTTGGTCCGGTTCTTCGTGGGCGTGGCCCCCGACAGTGGGGGAAATGGTTGCTAGGAAGATCCTGAAGGTACACAATATGTTGGTTTAGCACATTATTCCTTTGTCTAGTGACACTGAGAGGATGCAACGTGCAAATTTGAACAAATGCCACATTTTATGTGCCTGTTCAGATGATCTTAATAATTGAAGGGGTTCAGGTGAGCCAACCCTCCAATTATACAACTCTTGCTGGTTTTCCTTCAATATGTTCTAAATGTCCTTATAGAACAAAAACTGGCAAGAGTTGTATATTGAGAGTTTGGCTCACTCTGGCTCTGACGCATTCAATTGTGTTCCTATTCAGATGAAGTGCAATTGAACTGGCTAATGTCCGTGTTCATCTCTCTCTCTCTCCTCACAGGACGTCAAGTAAACACATTATTATTAAATCACTATTTATCATTTTTAATAACTACTAAATATACAAAAATCAAATTACTTATCAAATCTAAATACAGACCCATACAACATACAAAACACACAAGACAATCTAATACAAACAACAAAACATAACTCGAAACAGAAAATACCACAAAAACACCCCCCCGATGAACTGGCGGGGTAGAGGGGAAGAGGGGGGGGAGAGGAAGAGGAGAGAAGGAGGGAGGATGGGTGAAAGGAGAAGAAGAAAGAGCGAAAGAGGGAAAAAAGAAAGAAGGAAAGCAAGAAAGAGAAAAGAGGAAAAAAGCAGGAGGGAGACGAGAACGAAGGAAAAGAAAGAAAGAGAGAAAGAAGAAAGCAGGAAGGAGAGAGAAAGAAAGATAATCCCCCCCTCCAATCCCATCCCTCCCCTCCTCCTTCCATTCTCTCCCTCTCCTCCCTCTACCTCCCTCCCTCCCTCAGGCTCAGAAAGAAAGCCAAGCTGATAGCCGAGGGCAGCTGATGGGACCGACAAATGCAGGAGCGGCAGCTGCAGCAGCCAGCCCAGAATAGCCAAGAAAGAAAGGCATGAAAGATGAGAATGTTGAAATGAACCTTTTCCAGTTGGAAGGATGGGCGCGTATTGAGATGGCAGGAGGAGAGGAGAGGAGGAAGAGAGGGGGTGCGCTATGCCATGCCATAGCGAAAGAAAGAGAGTATTTTTAGACGAAAAACAATGTTCATAAGTAGGTTAAGTGTTCGTTTAATGTACCATCGTGCTTATGATAATGCTACCACCACTATCAGCAGCTCAGGGGGGGGGGGGGGCAAGGGATTTGACTCAAAACAAATCCGCTATGACATTGCAAAACCCTGCAAACCCACTAATGAATGTGCAAGCACTTCAGGAAAAACACAATGCAGGCCTGGATTGGAAGCTTTACAAAGTGTATATGCCCAGGAATGTACCACCAACACCAGTATTGTGCTCTTTCGCTCTTGTAATATTCCATTTCTGTCCCGTGTCTATAGAATTGGGCTGTGCAAACTCCAGCTACAACTGCTCTGTGTCTGAAATTTGATGTGGACTTCTCGTGCGCTCTCTCTCTCTCGATATCTCGATCTCTCTCTTCGTCTCTCGATCTCGATTCTCTCTCTATCTCTCTCTCTCTCTACTCTCTCTCTCTCTCTCTCTCTCTCTCTCTCTCCTCCGACAGATGTAGGCAGTAATAACAGTGGATACTACGAGCTAGCGGCCGTCCTGACGCACAAGGGAAGGTCTTCATCATCTGGTCACTACGTCGGCTGGGTGGCCCTCAAGAACGGTGAGTCACGTGACTATCACATGACTATTGACTCTATTTAACTCTCCATATTCCTTGGTTTGTGACATTAATTTGCTTGAGAGTGACTTTACCAAAATAGGTCTCTTTGAATGAAGTCATTATGATGTATACAGTTAGCAAGGGTTGCGGAATTAGTTGTATATGGGTAATGACGTGGATTATGATGTCATACTATTTAAACCATATGATGTAATCATGATGTAATGCCCCTGTAAGGTGAGTGGGCGAAGCTGGACGACGACAAGGTTACCTTGGTGACGGAGGACCAGATACTGAAGCTGTCTGGAGGTGGCGATTGGCACGTGGCCTACATTCTGTTGTACGCTCCTCGGAGGTTGGAGAAGATGAGAGAGGAAGAGGAGGAGGAGGAGGAGGAGGTGGGGTGAATAATATGGCTCAGTGCATTACGTAATGTGTCTGAAATGTGGACTCTCTCTCTCTCTCTCTCTCTCTCTCTCTCTCTCTCTCTCTCTCTTCTCCTCTCTCTCTTCCGACAGATGTAGGCAGTTAATTTGCAAAAGGTTTTTGCGACTTTCATGTGTCCCCATTTGAGATAATACAACGTGTGCATATAATTCTGAGCGAGGAGAGAGAAAGTGAGAATATGTTCATTTTTCTCCCTGACAGACCCCACCCACTGCAGAGGAGACTTCTGATGTTCCAATGGAGACTGCTGACTCAGCAGACCCTCCTCCTCCTCCTCCGACCAATTAACAATGACATCATCGTGACATCATTCCATCTCTCTTGATTAGACCAGTGTGTCAGCTTCACACACATCGTGACTATTGTATAATGACTATTGTGATGATGGTGTGTGTATTATAACAACACAACCATAATTATGCAATATTGTTGGCCGGTATCACTAAGTACAGTAGTACTTAGTATATTATAGGGATGGGCATGGTACCTAGCATCATAGATGTATGGAGTTATGATAGGGAGTTTTGTTCATCTTCTTCTTCTCTAATTTCCAGCAGATGTCAGGATATAGCATTAACACTTAACCAGCCACGGGCACATAAATGTGTCCAGAGCCTCTAGTCAATAAGAATTATATGGGGGTTATAATACTTTATTAAATTCTGCTTATTTACCAATCTTCAAACGAGTAATATTCATACCACTTATTTTGTGTGCAGAAAATAGGAAATTACGGCAGAATATTATTGTAACAGCCTGCGCATAATCACAACTTGTTGTAATTATACTGTACAATGAGCATTGCAAAAAAAGTGTACTTGTAACTAAACAACAACACATTCTTCAACACTGTCCTCTGCTCCAACTCCACCCACTATGATGATCTTGTCAGGTGATGGACTGGCTACTAAACAGCTCGCTCCTACCACTAGTCATAGAGCCAATCTCCACCCACTGTCCATCCACTAGCTGGTGAATGGAGTTGACTGGTGACCCACATCGCTCGCCACCAATGAGTACTAGCTGTCCACAGAGAGTGGCAGCTGTTGAGTATTCACTGGTAGAGGAGGGAGAGGTTTCCATGATATGAGGTGTGGTATTGACTGTGGTGGGATTGGTTTGTCACTGGATGGTAGAGCTGCAAGAGAACACGAGTAGCCGTCATCACCATTTCCTACCACATGTACTAGATCACCACATATTGTGGCTGAAGGGAAGGGGAGAGGTTGTGGTAAGTCTGTTAGTTGGTACCATCTTCTGCTCTTCACTTGAAATAGTTCAACTGTAGCAGTCCAACTAACACCACCATCCCCCCAATCACAATGAGGTATTCACCATCGGATGTACTAACTACAGCAGTGTCGGAACGTGCAGTGTTCATTGGAGGGTATTTCTCAACCCATTTCCTCTGTCGTAGTGTGTATAGTTTGTTAGTACGACGAGATCCATCCTCTCCCCCCACAGCAGTTAGTTCCCTGTCAATGATGACTAGTCCAGAGTTGTGATATGGACATGAAGGAAGTTCCTCCCATTTCTCTGTACTACATTCATATTGGTAGACTGAGTTGGAGTCACGTGGGGTGAAGTATGCAAATCGACCATCAGTTGTTGAAGATCCTCTCATCATTCTCACATGGTGCTGTCTTCTTACGATGACACTGCACAGTGAGCTGAGGGGAGATCACATGACATGTAATGACATCATAATCATGAACGATATCCGTAACATGACTCACATAATAATTAAACATTGTTTTTAAAAATCAAAAATTAATTAATAGGCATGGCTTCAATTTCGATCGATCACCATTCACCATATCCCAAAATTAATTTTTTCACTTTTGCATATTTGTGTGACATATTAAAAGGCATCGTTAGCTCCTGCATGATAGTGAAAGTGGAACAAATATTTAATGTACAAACCTTTCTGGGTTTAATATTGACTTGTGTGGAATGTGGTACAGCTGTTGGTAGAAGACTAGACTGGGTCTGGGAGGGTGGAGTAACAAATAGCAATATTCACAGGCAGTGGATAAAGAGTTAATATCTAAGATCGTTGGAAGTATATACACAAGTCAGAAGGTAAATGATTACAGTAGAGGTATTATACAGCTGTTGCTAGACAACCAGACTGAGTCTGAGAGGAATGTGTGGAGTAAATTATTCACAGCCAGTAAGACTGACCTTTGTCCTCTGAGTTGGCTCTGAGTCTCTCTGCTGGAGGGTCTTCTGGAAGTCAGCCACTAGAGCCTCACTTGATCGCAGCTGTTCCTCCTGCAGTCAGGAGCACCTCTAGTCACTTCAACAACACACATCCTGCAGTTATCACTATTCACCTTCTGTCTCAGTTGCTGCTGAGTCTCAGCTAACTCTCTCTCCTTCCTTGTTAGTCATCCTGACTGCTCTTCTCTCTTAGCTCCCTGTCCTTGGCCTGCACTAACTCAGTCTCCTGCAGTCAGGAGGACCTCGTTACATGCCCTACATTAGTTCCACAGACTAGACTAACCCGTCTCTGTGAGCTGATGAGCTGTTGTCTGACTGTCTGTTTCTCTCTCTCACTGGATTGGAGCTCTTCTTCCTGAAGTTGTACGTTCACATTAGCAGGGATGCTATATATAATAGTTTTACCTTCTGTCTCAGTTGCTGCTGTTCTCTCCTGATAGTCTCCTCTGCTCTTGTCAGCTCTGCTCCTTGTCTAGCTAACTCTTCCTCCTAAAATCAGAAACACAAAGTCATCACCTACGTAGACACATGGCAAATTTACCTTCCGTCTCAGTTGCTGCCGAGCCTCAGCTAGCTCCCTGTCCTTGGCCTATGAGAGAGAGGATTCGTGCCAGTACTCATTATGCTTCTACCACGGAAAACCAATTTGCCAGGGCAGATTGACTGTAATGTAATTCTGGCCACAGCAAAACTGAGTGACTGTTACTCTTTACCTGATTCCTGGAGTGTAGTTCCTGATTGCTTGACTGGAGATCTGCATTCTCCTGATATTGTAGGAATTCGCTATCAAAACTCTGTTGTTATGACAGTATGGGAAGCCCTCACCTGGTTCCTGGACTGCAGCTGTTGCTGTAGCTGTTGCTGTAGCTCCTGCACACGAGACTGCAGATCTCTCTCAGAACTCTGCACAACACAAATCAAGTTTCAGTTGCAGAGACCACAGCATTACGGCACCTCACCTGGTTCCTGGGCTGGGTCTGAGCAGCTTGCACCTCTTCCCATCCGCTGTCCCTGGCTCCAGCTCTGGCCTCCTCCAACAGACGCAGCACCTCACGAATGCTCGGGCGCTTGTGAGGACCATTGTGCAGGCATTGCTGGATCAGCCGAATGAGAGGGTGGTCCCCACGGAGCTGGCCACAGGCACGGAGTTGCCCATTCACGTGTCGCATGTACTCAGCGCGTCGCTGTAGTTCGGTGCGAGCTACTAGCAACCCAGTTTCTTCATCGAGATAGGTTCCAGTAACGGGATCGCAGGGGAAGACTTCACCGATTGTGAAAATGGAAACTACTCCAAGAGAGAAGACATCGATACTGGCATCGTACTTTGACTTTTGGGCATTCGATTTTGCAGGAGCACTGGCTTCTGGAGGCATGTAGACTGAGGCCCCAGGTCCCTTTGTCATGGTGGCTGCAGTTCTCATACGAGGGACGATACGAGCCACGCCCAAATCCACGATCTTGGCCACCATCCCCGAGTTCAGGAGAACGTTTCTGGCCGACAAGTCGCGGTGGATGACGGGCGGTGATCGCTCGTGGAGGTAGGCTAGACCGCACGCCACGTTGTGCAGGATCGAGCACTTTAGGCTGAGCGGGAAGAACGGCTTGGGCGTGTTGGGCGGGGGAGGCGGGTCCGTTTCTGGGTCCAGCAAGTCGTGAAGGCTCGTCAGCAGTCGCTCCATGACGAGGGCTGGCAGTCGCGAGCCGGGAAAGAAGGCGACGCCCAGAAACTTGACGATATTCGGGTGGCCGAGGGTGCTCATAAGCTGACATTCCCTCACGAACTGGGCGGTGGCTCTGCGGATCTCGGCCGCGGGGATCTCGGAGCGGTCCAGGAAGATGTCGTGGATTTTTTTGGCGGCGCAGATGGCTCCAGGCACGGCCACCTCCTCGACGCTGCCATAGGCTCCGGCGCCGATTCTGACGCCAGTGAGCCGCACGTTGGGGAGGACGAACGGCCGCAGCTCTGGATACTCGGCGAGAAGGCCTTCCGCGGCCATTTCTCGTGCTGTAGGTCACGACAGTCTTATCCTGCTGGTCTCTCAGTAGCTACGGTTCAAGATGAAGATGACGCCCGGCGGCCCAGCTAGCTCTGCGATTGGGCCGCGGTCGCGCGCCCCATAAAAAGTGCGCATGAGTGCGTCCTGATGATCCAATCACGAGCTAGAAGATTGTAAGTAATTTTGTAAACTTTGCATTTTTGGTCAGCATTCCGTTGCCATCGCCGTCATGTCATACGTTCTGTTTGTCAAAGACTGTGTACACTGAAGAAGGTCTCAGGGACCGAAACGTTGTGTGAATTGAATGATGTTTTGTGCAGACTGACTGAGCGCGCGTGAGTGACGTCCTCATGTCAATCACGAGATAGATTTGCAGTTACTGTTTGTACGATCTGTTGCATGTGGGTGTCACGACAGACAAAACTCCTCCGTCTGCCATCTGTCATCTGTCATCAGCTGTGGTGTCTGAGATAGCTCTAGTGCGAAAAGACTATAGACGTAAAGTAAGATGAGTCCTCATTGTGACATCAATCGATACCAGTATCTGTGTAATATGCTCAATACTCTGCATTTCAAGAACTGTGCTGTTCAGCGTGCGCAGTGAAGACCACTCGAAATTCTGATATTATCCGAAAAAATTGAGGACAAATTAATAATATTTTGAGTTTATGTTTACCAGCGGTATTAGTAGGCTCAAGGTCGGACGATGATGATGCAGGGAGAAGAAAGAAAGTGACACTCATCTGGGGGAATTTTGTGTTAAAATTTTTTTGACGGGGATTTAAAAATCTCACAACCACCACATTGCAAACACTATTGCATGCAGCCCCTAAAATATACTGAGAAAATAACCAAATTCACCTACATAGCTATAAGAAAGATACTGTCGCTAAAATAGTTATTGTGTGTGTACCATTTCCAAAGTAGTAGCAGCTGATGTTGTTGGTGGTAGTGCAGAACTGGTTGTCTCTGGCCTGGGTGGCGACGTGATCAAACACTAGAGACAGGCCTGGAGGACAGCCCACATGCACTCTGGTCTGCAATCGTCCCTTTTGGACATGAGACACACACACACAGAGAGAGAGAGAGAGAGAGAGAGAGAGAGGTAAGTTGAGTATTGTGTCTGAGGCATAAGGTACTTACAAGTAGCTGTGGACGAGGGTTGAGTGGATCAACACACTCCATTCCTACACCTCTGACCTGTTGTAAAAGCAACTCAGGAGATAATAAGACTGCAATGTATGAGGACTAACAATTAACCTGAATAGTG